ATTCACGAAGGTTCGAGAGAACGAGTGGCGTGACACTAGTCACGTGACCTCGCTGACGCAACAATATTAAGTGATATTTTCTGTCAGATTTATAACACTTGTTTCTCTGCTTTTTAAAATAAATTGTTAACTTTAAATCTAGAATAATTTTTGGTTTCCTTCTCTTGAAAAGCAATATGTGACATTTTACTCATTTTTTTTCTTTTGACAAGACATTCTTATTTTTGTGAAATTTCGACATTGGACACCCTAATATATCTTAAATAATGACATGCAGAACTCTTGTGACTTTTATAACCCATGTAAACTCACTTGAATAGTAAGTAAATACACAATATCTTGTAATCTAAAATAAAGTTTAGATCCAGCAGTACAGAACAACGCGAAATTTATATGGATACAAGTTTCAACACTTTCATGTGTGGTTTACAGTCCAATGTATAAAGTTGGCGTTGTTCCATTATGCTGAATCTAAGCTTGATTTTAGATACACTTCAATGTTTGTCTCCCTCGATACACACACACACAAAATACTTAACATTTATTTTCTAATATCTCTATGTGTGTCATAAAAATTACGTTTAAGGGCTACGAAAGTTAATGTAACATTACTTCGCAGGAAATTCTAATAAATAACGGTTCTACATTTTAAACAACAAACAAAACAAACTTTATCTAATAAACGTGTAATAATTGTGCTAATTCTCGAGGATAAACTAGATGTTTTGCTCCTTTGTTATTTTGCTCTGTTGTTATAAAAGTCGTATACAACATGTATAAATTTACTTTTGGGTATTTTCCACACTCTTCATTCTGTTGTTTGTGTGGGAAATACACGTTGCATTTTAGTCTTATTCTCGTTATACTTGCGAACCGGTGATATTTATTATCACTATTTCATAAATATCAAATATAATTCTTTATTAATGTAACTGATTTCGAGAGTATAAGAGAGTTCTATAGGTGACACAGCACAGTGTGTTTTATTTTCAGTATTGTAAACCCCGTAGCACCGTACCAAGGCCCCTGGCTGTTGTTTGTTGCTGAACGTTCTAGAATATTATTGAGGTTTATTGGAAGAAAAAAGGAAATTTGTGTATATAACCAAGACTACGACTTGTTACTAAAGAAAACAAGAATTTGTTTTGTGCATCTTCGACACTCGTAAAGTTGGAAACTGGTAGGAACAAATTAGATACAATCAAGTGGGATTAATTATAAGTATAACATCAAGTATCAGGGTATACTATAACTTAACTAGATTATCTAATTCGGTGGAAACTGGTTGTTTCTCTTGATGAGTTAAGACTAGTTCAGTAGTTGGACTAATTCTGTAAAGTGTTAGTAATAGTATTACTGTTAGTGTTAGTAATAGAAGTATTTCCCTATGATGTTAATAATAATATAACTTATAAGCATTATTTTTTGCCTAGGACTTTAAATTTTGTACCGTTTATAAAACGATGGTGCTAAATACATTTATTAAATTATATTCTCATTCAGCATATTTGATATGGCTAATGCCTAAACCTACAATTTACAAAATACAATATCTCTAGTACTAGTAGTACTACTTGTAGAGCTGGTAGTTGTGATAAGCATAGCAGTTCTAGATATGCCATGTACAAGGTTGTTCAATGGCCCACTGGAAAGATAATTTCCTTCAGTACTTCAAAAAGTACTAAAATTCAACAAAACACAAATATAAACTTATGCACATGAGTTGGCTATGTAACAGACATGTTGTTATAAAATCTACATGAAATGACTTGTGGGAATGAAGTACAAAGCTGGTCTTAAATTTAAACATAAACTTCTTTTCTGTTTTAAAACAAATGAGATGGTGATATTTGAAGAAACCATTCCAGTTTCTACAAGTAAAAAGGCCTATAAGGCAATAGAAAAGAAGTTGAAAACATTGCATTCTTGGTATTGTAATGCAACATACTTTTAATAATTTTGGAACAGATTATTGAAAGTGACATTTTAATATTGTTAGTAAGCAGTACAAAACACAACATTTAATACATTATTACTAATATTAGTGGACACAAAACTACAAGCATACCTTATTATTAAGAGAGCAATGCTCTAAATTCCTTCTGTATTGTCTAATGCAATTTTTAGTTGTAGAATAGTTTTTTCAAATGTTGCTATCTCATCTGTCATAAAACAAACTATTTTTGGTGCTTTCAATTTATGAACAACTCTGTACTTTGTTCCCAGAAGCCGTATCATGCAGATTTTGTGAATTTTTATTCATTTCCAGTAGTGTAATACTGGTTCAGTGTTTTTTATGTCATTTTAAGATATCTTATGTAAGAGTTACATGTCAAATAGTGGCATATTTAATATTGAAGCTGAAATGTTTTGGATCTCTTGTTTCATCGTAGAAATGTAGCCAACTCTGGTGTGTAAATTTATATTTGTGTCAGGGATGTGCTCTGTTGTTTATATTTTAGTATTTCTTGAAATGTTAAAGGAAATTGCCTGTACAATTGGTTGTTGCACAAACTTAAAAAGGGCATGCGTAAGGCTGATATACTTAAGCCCTACTAGTTAGTAGAGCTAACCCCGCAAGTAATACAGAGACATATGTCTCTATCACTTGCTTTATTTCTTTAACTTTCGATATACACTGAGAATTTATTAACTTCTAGTTAATACGTGCATATATAAGAAGTGTATTTTGAACTTCTATCTCATGCTTTTAGTTTAAGTATGTAAAGTTTGCCAATTTGTGGGTTCTGTGCAATTTAAGTCATATAAAAGGAAATAGTTCCTTGAGCTTTGTGATGAAAAGTGGTACAAATATCACTAATTATTAGCCAAATTAATTAATTTTTCCCACTGATTCTCTGAAGAGGGATAAAATGGGTTCATGCTGTTGTAAATGAGAACAGTGGAATGTGAGTAAGGATTCGTCATTGTTTCTCCATCATTCCATTGAACGTGAAGGTAGGGTAGTTTTTATTAAATACATATATATATATATATATATTAACATAGTTTTAGCTTCCAAGTAAGATATTTTTGTAATAACTTGAAAAGTGTGTAACTGTCATATGACTAATGCTGAAAACTTGAAAGTTGAAGAAGGCCTAACATACTTCTAGTTAGTTTTAAATTAAGCATCATTTATGACCAAAATAGGCTATTATGCTCAAAATGAATTTTTTTTCCATGTTTAATATAGCTAGTGTGCTTTCACTTTCACAAGACATTTAGTTTTAATTATAATTAGAGGAAGCAAATAAGAGAAAGACAAAAACTAATAGCTATTATATTGGAGTATGTTTTAACATTTATAAACGGATGCACTTTTCACTTACACTTATACAAAGAATATTTTGGATGTAGGTTCTAAAATATAATTGAAATATCTGTAAGTTTGCATTATCTTCCATTTATTTTTGTGTATAATGAAGAAAATATTTTGAAAAGTATGATATAGGATGTATTTAGCTACTTTGTGAGGTTTTATTATCAAAACTTGATTCATACTGAGTAATATTGTTTGTTAAGATGACATTTGTATAATTATTCTAAATAATTAAGATTATGATATGGATTAATTTGTTTAAACTTTTTTTATAGGAAAACTATGTCAAAAGATTCAAAACATCCATATGGGGTACCTTCCATTTTTTTCTGATTTTAAGATTTTGCAAACCAGGTGTGAAATATAGTAGCATGTTAAAAAAAAAGATTAAAAACAAGACACAAAAGTGCTCTGATGAACTGTGAAATGGAAATTGAGGAAGTACCAAAAACATCAAAAAATGCTGATGCACGTAATCAGATAGAGCAGAAGTGATAAAAAAACAATACATAACTTTTGTTTGTAGTTATTATCCAAACTAGAATAGAAACCTATTTTCACTTTGAATTAAGTAAAGATATTTATATTGTACTGGAATAATATACATATATATTGATGCACTTTTGTAATATATATGATGATACATCATAGACCTGAAATAAAAACAAGTTAGACTTTTGACCAACAGTTTTTGCTAATATTTGGGAAATATCAGTGAGTTCTTCTAAAGGAAGATTTGGTAACTTGTTTGAAATCTGAATGCAACTTGTAGGCATTATGTTTAGGAGCTGGTTAAATTGAGGGGTTTTCAGAAATAAGTATTCTTGTATTATCGATTGCACTGAATTTTACCTTGAATGACTGTCTTTAACAGCTTGGTTACAAACTTATTCCCAGTATGAGCCTTATAATACTGCTATGATATTAGTGACAATTTGTGCTACTGGTATAGAATGTCTTTCTTCAGTTTGGGAAGGAAAAGTCAACTACAAGAAACTTGTACATAGAAATGGGTTTTAAGATACAGTTGGGTGATGTTATTTAGCAGTTTGTGAATTTAATTTAGATTACACTTGTTGAGTGTAAAGGGTGGAAAACTATTGATACCAGTCTTCACTAGAGGAAAATCCCAACATACTCGGTGTAAAGTGAAAGAGAGAAGACCACCACCAGGAGAAAACTTGTAATGAGAGAGTAATAAGAAGGATGAGAACGTTTAAGGTAACACTGTCAAATTGTAACTGAGTGTGCAGGATTACTTCACTTACAACTAGCCATTTCAATACATATATAACCATGAAGAACACTGCAAAAATTTATTACGTGTTACCTGTAATACCTTGAATATTTTCAACTATTCTTTACTCTCAAAGCTTTGCACATTTTTATCATTGACAATGTGAAACAATAAGTAAAATAAAACTTTTTTATTTGTGACTGATTTGTGTACATTTATTTCATTAAAATATGAAAAAATAAAGATGTTATGAGTGCTACGTGCAACATTATGAAAATTAAAAATTCAAGAATTTGAGATTGTTCAAATACGTAGCTTAAGTATAAAATCCACATTCAATTAATGAGCTTATAAATTTAAAATAAAAGAATGATGCTTTTTTTTATTTACATATAGGATAAAAACATTAGCTTTCTGATAATTCCTAAATATGTAGAATGGTCCAAACAGTAGGACATTGATCATTTTCTCATGCTATCGTTCTCACTGCACCAGTCATTTTATATGTGTAAAATAAACCATTATGACTGTTTTATTTGGGATTGATTCTTTGGGTTAGAAGCTTTGGAAAATGTAATTTAGAAGAAATTATTAAGAAACATGGTATTCTCCTAAAGAGAAACTGCAAAACTTTATTAACAACCATATTTTTTGTAGTTCACTCAGTAATTCAATGATAATCATTTATCCTTGTATGCGAGTGTAGTGTGGATGAGCCTTTTTAAGGTGGCTGGTTTTATCAAAATAAATATTGAGTCATTTGTGTTTAAAATGCAGTTCTTTATGAATGATGATATTTATATGGATATGTGTTTTCTAATACAAAGTCTTTGCAACAATTACTGATGCAAGTTCTATTGGTACTTTCACCCATGGATAGACATACTGGATTTACTACCAGTTTACCAAGCTTACATAAAAATGCTTCTTGTTAATTTCTCCCATATGTGTAGAAGAGAAGTGCTTTGATTTTTTTCTACCACATACCACATTTCATGAAACAGGGAGTTCATACATCTATACTGAATTTTAAAAATTAGGGATTATATTTGTTACTGATTTCATATGGGTAATTTAATGAAAATTTGAAGCAGCCAGGCATCATTGCTTACGTGTGTTCCACATCTCGGATCCTGTCTATGTACTTGTTACTCTTTCCCAAAAAAAAACAAACAAAAAACATTTTTCTAAACTTCACCTTTTGGAGCTTGTCAAGGCATTTTATTTTTTTTTCAAAATTTAATTGAACAATGTTTAAAATGCACAATTTTTGGTATGAGAATTACTATTGGAGCAGAACTGAAAAAGAAAATGAACAGTATAGTAAGCAACTGGTTATTAAGTTTAAATCTTTATGTATGCCCAAGAAAAAAAAAACTTCTGAAGTATTATCAGTATGTAACCCAAAAGTTATTAGTAAGTCTGATGTCTACCTTGCAAACATGCAAGTTAATGTATTGAGGTTAGGCTTAGATTTTGCAGTAACTCCACAAATTCTACCTATTGAAGATTTAGTAACTAGTATTGAATCTAATGTTGAATAAATTATATAAAAAATATAATTCATTAGATATCGATGCCAAGATTTGTTGAAACAAAATATTAAAATGAATAGTAATTTGACAAAAAAAAAGGTTTGCAATCCTTCAAGAATAACAATAATGTTGTTACACAAGTTGACAAAGGAGGGTGTGTAATGGTGTTGAACAAATATTACATTTCTAGCGTGGATCAGTTGTTAAATGATGGTTCGTATGTTTCCCTTAGAAGAGATCCTACAACAAAATTCCATAACTTGAGAAAAAAAAACATTGATCAGTGTATAACTTTGTCACCTGAACAAAAAAAAAAGATTTCCAATTTTTTGTCCACCCCATTTTTACGCTTTATCTAAGATTCATAAGTTAAACAATGGTTTTAGATCTATTGTATCCAGTATGGGCACCTCGTTACAGTATGTTGCAAAGCACATTGTTCAATGGTTTCTGTAATTCAGTAGTAAGAATAAATGTACTATTAAAGATTCTGCTGAATTTGTTGAGAATATTTAAAACATGAAACTTAATCCTTCTGATAAGATGGTATCTTTTGATGTAATTTCATTATTTACTAAAGTCCTGGTGGAAGATGCTGTTAATTGTTTTCATGACAGATTAGTTCAAGCTTTCATTTCTCTGATCGCATTTGTTGACATTAATTTAACCCTATAGAATGGGTCTTCCTATGGTCACAGGTCAAAGACCATGTCATCACATTTGTAGATTTACATTCAAAATTTTATTGAACTACTATTTTATGAATGTATATCAGTAAATTTGATTTCAAATTGTAGATTATAATTCAAATTTTAGTATTATGCATTAGCTAATTTCTTAATTTAAAATTGAATATTAAAAAATTCCTAAATATCCTGTTTTGTATGTCGTGTGGAAAGTTGAATGCAGCATTGTTTCAGATTAGATGTTTATGATGTCCAAATACAAAAATCTATAGTTTCTTGCAGATTAGGAACTCAAGTTACTGATATTGATAAGCTAGAATATAAAATAAGAACCTATCATTGCTATTGTTGATGTATCAATAGATTTAGTGAATCAAACACAGTGGCCTTGCCCACCTATATTCTATTTTTGGAAATTCCTACGTTACACCTACTTCTGTGTATGATTTATGAATAACCAACTGAAAGCTCAGAATGTCCACCATGTGGCTCTGTGAGCCTTCACAAAGTACTTATGTGGGAAACCTTTTTTTTTCATGGCAGATTCCAAAAGGGAAGATAAGACATTATTGAGTTTAAAAATCATATTTTTTTTCGACCCAAATACAGCTTAGCTACTAAGCCTAAGAAATTATAGTGGAATTCTGAAGTGTTCATATAGTAATTGATGATTTTTTTGTTATTTAAAATTGCATATATAAAACCTAAAAAAAATTATTTTGTTTTACATTCTCCATGTGCAAAATTTCACAAGGCTTAGGAAACTACAGCAAGCTGCAAATGACAACAAAGTTCATAACTAGAAGAGATAATTGTTTTCTATACTTCTTTATTTACTGTTCTATGTTTTTAGAAAATTAACTGAAAATTAAGAACTCACTTGTAAATAGTAATAATGTGTACACATATATAATGTGTTATAACCGAAATCTGACTGTATTTTACGAATTACTGGCCCACTAGAACACAGACAAGATGGGTCACTTTGTGAAGGCCAGTTTTATATTATTGAATGTGGTAATGTGTGCTGCATCATTCAACTCCTGTAATGTTAGTCAGACACTGCTAAAAGGTCAATGAAATAAAAATAATAATTTTTTTATATATATGTGATATGTTATGAGATTAAGCTA